CATTTTATACACTATTGGTGGGAGTATAAATTGCTACAATCATTCTGGAAAGCAATTTGGCAATATGTAGTGAGACCTTTAAAAACATCCACACCCTTTGACTCAAGAGTTCTATGTCTGGGAATTTATTCTAAAGAAATTATCTGAAACATGCACAGAGATCATCTTCTAAACACTACTTACCATAGTGAAAAATAGGGAACAATCTAGTATGTCCATCAACAGGGAAATGATTAAAAATTGTGGTACATACATAAGACATAGAGTATTATGTAGTTATTTTAGAATATTTGCCAAGAAAGCCTTTTCACATTTTCTGTTCCTGATGGTGGTTTTTAAAAAATTTTTAAATACTCATTATGAAAGAAAAAAATTTTAAATACAAAGGAAAATGTAAATTCTCTCGTTATTTATACTCTTTTCACCAACTCCTAAAGTTAACTATTGTTGAGCTTTTATGTGGATTTAGTTACTAGGCATACACAAATTTATCTAACAAACATTTACATATAGGTAATCCTTTGTTTTGTTTTTAAACACAAGTGAGGACATACTATGCTTGCTGTTCCTCAACTTGCGTCTTACACTTATTTTGGCTATTGTTCTGTATCAGCATATGTAGATTTATCTTATTCATTTAAAATGATTTTCAATATACATATCAGGTCCTACACTGAGATATATTTAGGTTAATTAGACTTTTCTGCTTATAAACAATGATATAACTAGTATACTTGGATATATAACATTATGTACTATAAATTTTGTGACTATAAAATTGGTGATTAGTATATATGAACACACTAGTTCCTAAGATACGATTTCAACATTTTAGCCATTCAAAGTTATTGCTAAATCACCTACCAAAAATATTGTACTGATACCCTCCTCCCTACCTCTCCAAACCATTCAAAATACTGGATATTACCAGCTTTTAAATCTCTGCCAATATGGAAGATAAATATTTTATTTGCCTATCTATAATTATAATACAGTTAAACCACTTTTCTGCTGCATAGTTTATATTTTTCTTAGAGGCTTATACGATACCTTGGTATAATCAGGAAATCAGCCCCCTATCACATGAATTTCAGTTTTGATGTTATCTTTTAACAGTGTTCAGAATATTTTGTACTGTCTAGCAAATTTCTCTGTTCTTCCCATTCAGGCTCCTGGGTTTTATATGTATGCTTTGAAAGTCCTCCTATCTCAAACATTTTTAAAAGTACATGTATTCTTCTACTCTTTTTATTGTTATTGAGGGCTTTCAAAAACTGTAAAATCAAAATGTAGAAATATAGTTATTTACATAGTTGGGGCTCAACTAGGTAAATAAACAGAAAAATACTTCAAAGAAATAAAGCACTGACAATGATTAGCTGAATGGTAAGATTATATGTGACTTTCTTTTCTGTGATTTCCAAATTTTCTTCAATGAGTACACATTACTTTTATAATCAGGAGAAAAGAAAATTTCTTAAAATCATCATATTTTAAAACTTTCTTAAGTTTTTTATGGTATTGGCTTCAGTTCTCAATCAAGTAATACTTGAGTACCTAACCTAAATTGAGTTTAATATTAGAGTAAAGCTTTGCATTTTCTTTTAACTCCACTGACATGGATGGCACAACATGAAAAAAAATATTAAATTGCTAAATGGGGGTCTGCAAGGATTATGCCTGCATTTGGGAAGTTAATTCTAATAATCACAATAATAGTTCACCTATTAGGTACTTACTGTGTGCCAAGGGCTTACATATATTAGCTACTCATTTATTCTTCACAATATCTTTATGAGATAGGTACTATTATAATCTCCATTTCACAGACTTGGAATCTAAGGCAGAGAGAGGGTAAGTTATTTGCACAAATGATGAAAACTATTAAAAGTGGCAGAGCCAGGACTGGAATTCAAAGGGTCTGGCTTCAGAATCCCTGTTCTTAACTTCTTAACTAAAATGCTGCTTAAAATATTAACAGAAAAAGTGGGAAGCTACTTCTGACAACCTAGAAAGTGTTAAAGAATTAAACTAAGCTACAAAAGGGCTTGAGAGTAGATTTATTGAAAGAATTTTTAAAAAGGGGTTCTATGGGAAACATGATATGCCTTTACTTTTTTTTATTAAGGTATCATTGATATACATTCTTATGAAGGTTTCACATGAAAAACATTGTGGTTACTACATTCACCTATATTATCAAGTTCCTCCTGTACCCCATTGAAATAAACCACTGTCCATCAGTGTAGTAAGATGCCAGAGTCACTACTTGTCTTTTCTGTGCTAGACTGTCTTCCCTGTGACCCCCCTACGGCATGTATACCAATCATAATACCCCTCAATCCCCTGCTCCCTCCCTCCCTACATATTTTTCTGTAGCTCTGTGAGCATGTTTATGATTTTTATTTTGAAATCTCTTTCAGGAAGATTGATAAGTTCAGTTTCACTTGGCCCTTTTTCTGGTGTTTGTGGGATTTGGTTTCAACCAGGTTCCTTTGACATTTCTTATTTGTAGTTGGTACCTTCTAGGGCCCAGAAACTCTACTCTCTGGAGCTGCCCAGCCCCTGGAGTGATGGTGGGGGTTGCAGGCGAGGAGAGCTGGTGCCTGGCAGGAGGAAAGAGCTCTTTCCTGTTTTCTGGCTGCAGTGCCTGACTCCACTACCAGGGCCAGTGGACTGAGTGCACAGTGAGAAGCCTCTATGCTTTGCACTTGTAGCTGCCATAGGTGGGGCTGCCCTCTGGCTGTCCTGGGACAATGGCGGGTTTGTGAGCTGGTGACGGCTGGGAGGAAGGACAGCAGGCTGCATATTGCGGTGGAGGTCCTCATAACTGCATAGTCAACCAAGTGGATGCAGTGCCTGAAGCTACTGAAAGATCCCAACCTGCTAGGCAGAGTGCGCCTGGACAATTTTGTCCACCTGTCCTTTCTCCTGAGCAGCAAGCTCTGTGCGATCTTTGCCCTTTAAGCAGCCCTCTTGCTGTTAGGAAGTCTCTCAAACTGCCTGCCTTTCTTTTGTCCCAGAGCAGCTGGTTGTGGATACATGTTTTCTATAAGCAGCTGGAAACTGTCTCCTCCAAGCATTCTGCCTGTGTTAGCTTCCCAACCCCACTAATCTCCAGAGCACTGCATAATGTAGGTTCATGCTCCCACACTAGATCTCCAGGGCTGGGTGTTCAGCAGTCCTAGGCCTCCACTCCCTCCCAGCTCTATTTCTCTTCCTCCCTCGGGTGAGCTGAGGTGGGGGAAGGGCTTGGGTCCCTCCAGATCACAGCTTTGGTACTTTACCCTTTTCCTTGAGGTCTGCTGTTTTCCCCAGGTGTAGGCAGTCTGCTGCAGCCTTCTTTCCTGTTGCTCTTTCAGGATTAGATGTATTTGCTAGATTTTCATATTATATGTGGTTTTAGGAGAAGGTTTCTATCTCACCTCTCACGCTGCCATCTTTAATCCTATATTTGATAATGCCTTTTATACATCTCTAGCTTCAGAGATTTGAGGAAAAAAACTTCAGAAGAAAATTTTTTTCTCCCTATTTAGGTGGCATCTTTAAGCTAAATCTCCAAGCTGTTTCTAAAATATAATGCCAGTGCACTGCCTCAAGAGAACAGTCCTCTGAAGAGCTGAATAATAACAATTACTTTTCTTAAACTGTTGCTAACATTAAATTATCTTAAGAGTAAAGCTAAAAGTTGTGGCAGATACCTATGATATCCCCAGTCAATCACTTGTTCTTTGCCTTTTTGTTTGGCAAAAACTGCTGGATCTTTCAAAATGTGCACATTATTCTCCCATAATGCCATGGGATGTGGTCATTACATCATCTCCAACATGTTACTTTCCCCCCAAAAGTTAGTGTACTTTGGACATTATATTTCTAAGCCAATTTTTAGTGCTTTCCATGAAGCTGGAAGTCAAATAATAGGTAAGCAAATGTGAAACTTTTTATTTCTCACAGATTAAATGGGGAACTTTTTAGAATGAACCCTTGTGACTCTAAGTTCCCCATGTACTAGTGATTATAATTCTGTGTCTCCTTTGCTGGCTTTGCCTTTCTCAGTATTACAGACTCAAAGTCCCCTTCAAGCATCTTTGAGACAAAAATATTTTCAACTTGCTATTTTTTTTAAATAAAAAATTAAAAGTAATACTTGACCATAAAAATATAGGCACAAACATAAAGGGAGACATGTAAGATATTTCTGTAAACCAGCCTTGTCCTTTGATAGTACTCAAAAGCTTTTCTGTATATAAATGGCCAAATTGGACTAGTAGCATCTCTGAGAAAAAGCTTTTAAATTGGCAGCAATTTTTAAGAAATAACAGAGCTTACTAGAGATGAATGGCCATAGATTGCCATCAATTAGAGCCACAAGCTTGAAACTGAGGAGCTCACTACAATCTAATTTTGATGTTATGACTGCTTTCTAAGGATTGACTATATAAACTAGCCACAATTTTCTGATTTTCTAATCTGTAAAATGGAGATTAAAATAATTGTTCACTACTGCTATAAAAAAATCATGATATTTCTATTAGGAACTACTAGGGCACTTACAAAAAAAAGAACTTCTTGGGTTAATTTAGGAACATAATATGTGTGGAAAAAATAATATAAGTAATGAGTGATTACTATCTATTGATAGCATATGTTAAATTTCAAATTTATCACGGATGTGACCCACAGGGAAATGATAGAATAGCTCCAAAGACAGAGTGGAGACGTAGGAAAAGGTTAGCTGAAGGTTATACAATAAGGGCTGAACTAGCTCTTTATTTATATGGACTTTTTAATCTCTCACTATTGCCCAACCTGTAAGAGCCCTTACTTGCCAGAGGTGAAAATAGGTGAATCTTAGATGAGCGGTTGGTTACTGTGGAACTTTTTAGGTGCTACTTTTAGAGGAAGGAAAAATGGAGAGCTAAGATACCCAAGGAAGATCACAAATGGGTACAATAAATATTTTTAGAGATTTGGAATAACAAAATAAAACTTATACTTACAGCTTGAGATTCACGAGTTTTAGGAAACATTTTAGCAACATTGAGCCCATCAATGACAATATCAAAAGGAGGACAAGATCTTACAAAGTTCTGAAATCTCTTAAGTTCCTAAAAAATAAAGATAAAATATTAATAAGAACTTAGTAAGGACTTTATTATAAACACACTGTTATGACTTTTATTATTGTTCTGTTAAGTCAAAATATTCATCCCTTAAACACACACACACACACACACAGACACTTTGAAAATGAAATCTGAAAAGACCAGCAAATAGATGAAACATCATGTAATGATCCAATACATCTTATAATCTTAGAGTGCTTTATACTTCACAAAGTATCTGCTGATGGTATTTCATCTGATCTGTAACCAGCTATTTAGTTGACACACATGGTAGTCATGAGAATGAAATGTCAAAATCTATATATCCTGCTCTGTAAGTCAAATAGAAATAAACCGCAGATATGCCAGTTTCCCAGCACAACTGTGTTGAAAGAACAAGGCTCTGTAATGTCTAGCTCCCTTTTTGTCATCAAAAGGCTTTTGTTTACTTATGGCTATCTTGAAGAGTTGAAGATTCATCCATTCATTCAACAAATATTACTTGAGCATCTACTATGCATCTAGCAGTTACAAAAGAGACACAACCTTGACTTAAAGGAGTTTGCATTTTAGTCAAGAAAGACACAAAAGAAACCAAATAAGTAAGTTAAATTACATTAAATGTCAAGTGTGATGAGTGCTATGAAGGAAAAGGGGGAAAAGGAGTTCCACTTATGATAATAATGGAATAGCCTGCATAGAACTACAAGACAATATAAATTCTATACTAAAAAAACAACTAGTTGAAGGTACTAGAGAATAACCAAAAGCAGGCAGACATTGGAGGAAACACAACATTTGAAAGAAGGTTTGGTGGTTTTGAAGCATGCCTGAAAATTCTTTGACACTACTCCCCCCTTAAGAGGTGGAGTCCAATTCCCTCCACTTGAATATGGGCTCTCCTTTGTGACTGCCTCAATGAATGAATGTGGCAGAAGTGACACTATGTGACTTCTGGGGCTAGGTAATAAAAGGCAATATAGCTTCCATCTGGCTCTCCTCTCAGGAAGTTTGTTCTTGGAACTGAACCATTATTAAAAAGCCCAGACAGAGGCCATGTGTAAGTCTTCTACCGGGAAGTCCAACTGAGTACTGGCCAGCATTAACCATCAGACCTATGAAAATGAAGATTTCAAGATGACCTCAGCCCCAATCTGTACAACAGTAGAAGACCCAAGCAAGAACCACATACTAAATCTAGTCAAACCCTAGAAACATCAGATAATAATAAAAGTAATGTTTATTAGTGACTGTCATATATTAGTGACTGTTTCCGTTAAATGCCACATCATTTGGAACGTTATTTTACTTGCCCATAGATAATCAGAAAATGAGGGGATTGTAACAGGCAAAATTTGCCTGTATAGTTTTTTTGCCAGAGGGCACTCTTCGGTCAGCATGGTTAGCAAGGGAAGCTAGAAATCAAGCAGAAAGCTGTAAACTTACTAGCTTGAAAAATCAGAAGACAGAGTTTGGGGATTGCCAGAGAAGGTAGAAAGTGAAACAGGAAATGCTGGAAAGGAGGGAACCACAAAAATCTGTGCATAGTGCTGCCCAAATCCTTGGCTAGCTCTTGATCTGTACTTGCATGAAGGAGACTCCAAGCAGCCCAGCAAAAAAGCAGCAGATGAAAGACTTGGAAGACCCGAACACGGATTTCAGTTACTATACATTCCAAGAATGACAAAGCGTGGAGTCTGAGTCTAACCATGTTTAACAGCCTGTAAAGCAAAAAATTAATCATCTCCAGAAGAAAACAGAACCCAGAGCCTTCACTGAGTGTCCCTTACAATCTCCAATATACAATTAAAAAATTGAAAATATGAGAAGAAATGGGAAATGTGACCCACAGTCAAGGGAAAAGGAAGCCAACAGAAATCAATTCAAGGTTCAGATGGAGTTAGCCGGCAAGAACTTTAAAGTAGCTGTTATAGATATATTCATTGATTTAAAGGAAAATATAATGAATACAAAGAAAGCAAGACACAAAAAAAGGAAAATATGAAAATTAACATTCTAGAACCAAAGAGCACAAATGTGAAATAAATATTCAGAGGGTAGACACAATAGCAGATTACAGATGACAGAAGTTAGAGTCAGTGAACATGAATAATGGAGCAACAGAAATTAATCATTCAATCTGAAGAAAAAAAAGACTGAGAGAAAAAGATAAAGCCTTAGTACTTGTGGAACAATATCAAGTGACTAACATTTGTTAGAGTCCAGAAGAAGAAGATAGAAAAAAAAATTTATAGACCAAGAAGCAAAGCAAATTCAAAGTAGGACAAATCAAAGATACAGATATGGTATATGTGACAACAATAGCACAAAGGCCAGGAAATGGTAAACAGAATTCTACTACTGCAAGATTCCTATACTTTATGTGAAATGGTACAACCTAAACTCTAAGTGGACTGGATTAAGATTCATATTGTAATCGCAAATCATATTTTAAAAAATAATGCTGATATAAATAAAATGAAATATAAAGTATAGATAAAAGGCCAACAGAAGAATTAAATGAAGTATTTAAAAAATTTGATTAACCCAAAAGAACATGAAAAGAGGAACAGAGACAAAAAAAAAGTTGGATAAATAGAAATAAATAGCAAAATAAAATAAATTAACCCTATCAAAATTGCTATTTATAACATTTGTACTTTGTTACTTTTTTGTTGAGGTACATACAATAAAATGTACAAATCTTAATGTACAGCTCAATAAATTTTGACATGTGTTCACACTCATGTAACCTAACAGATAAGGATAAACTGAAAGTGAAAAGTAGGAGGAAAATATATACCATGCATCAGTAGGCCTAAAGAAGTTGAAGCAGCAACATTGATATTAGGCAAAATAGATTTCAAAAAAGAGAATACTATTAAAAAAATTAAAAGGGACACTTCATAATGATAACAAGACCAGTATATCAGGAAGTCATATTCATAAATAAGAATACAGTTTTGAAATACATGAAGCAAAACTTGACAAAACTGAAAGGAAAAACAGATGTCTATGAATACACATGGCAATTCCAACACTACTATTTCCATAAGGAAACAAGTAGATAAAAATCAGTAAGGACAGAAGAACCAAGATGGCAGCATGAGTAGAGCAGCAGAAATCTCCTCCCAAAACCAAATATATTTTTGAAAATACAACAAATACAACTAATCCTAAAAGAGAGACCAGAAGACACAGGGCAACATCCAGATCACATCCACACCTGTGAGAACCCAGCACCTCAGGAAGGGGGTAAGATACAAGCCCTGGCCCGGCGGGACCCGAGCGCCCCTCACCCCAGCTCCCAGCGGGAGGAGAGGAGTCGGAGTGGGGAGGGAGAGGAAGCCCAGGACTGCTGAACACCCAGCCCCAGCCATCCGGACCAGAGCGCAGACACAGTGCATGCGTGGGGTGTTGGATACTAGGGAAACAGGACAGTAAGACCTGAGAGCGGGTCCCCGCAGCCGGCACACCCGGGACAAAGAAAAGCAAGTGCTTTTTGAAAGTCTTAAAAGGACAGGGACCCCACAGCTGGACGGAAGCACCCTGGGACACTTAGCACAACAGCT